ATCGTGAACGTAGAGGCGCACAGCAGAGCGTACGAAGTGTTACGCCTCTGGCTGGCACACGCGCAGCGGCAATCTGGGGAGAAACTAAAAATATGGCAATCTGACGGCGCAGCGGAGTTCAGGAGCAAGGAGATGAAGGATTACCTGGCGCAGAAGGGAATTGAGCACCATATTTCCCTCCCCTATGCGCACCAGCAGCAAGGCGTAGCTGAGCGCACGAACCGTACGCTCATGACGAAGGTGCGGGCGTTGATGAAGCAGTCGAAGCTTCCGCCAACCTACTGGACCTACGCAATGCATCACGCCGTGCGAGTGCACAGCCTGCTGTCAACCACGGCCATCACCGGCAACTCGTCGCCACATGTGAAGTGTGTCAGAACTATGCATTTATATGCTCTAGGCTGTAGTGGGGCACTCCTTATGGGGTACAGCCCAATTAGGTTTTGCTATACAAACCCTGTACTGCTGTCATTCTAGTCATCCTTCATTCCTACTTTCTGACATGGTTTCAGAGCAGGTTCCCTAGTGGGAACGTTTTTTTTTAGGGCCCACCACGATATTTTTCCTGCCCTGCCCGAAGCGCACCTCGCGCCTGCCTCATCTGCGCCGTCGCGCGCCCTGCTCTTCTGCCGCCCGTAGCGGCCCTGCCCTCCCGGCCCGTCGCGGCCCTGCCCTGTCGCCGCCCGTCGCGGCCTGACCTAGGCGCCCGTCGCGGCCTGACCTAGCAGTCCGTCGCGGCCTTGCCCTGCCGCCCCCTGTTGCGGCCCTGACCTCGCCGCCCGTCGTGGCCCTGCCCTGCCGCCACCCGTCGCGGCCCTGCCCTCAGCCGCTTGTCGCGGCCCTACTCTACCGCCGCCCCATCGCGGCCCTGCCCTGCAGCCGCCTTGTCGCGGCCCTGCCCTGCTGCCGCCCCGTCGCGGCCCTGCTCTGCCGCCGCCTCGTCGCGGCCCTACCCTACACCCGCCCCTGGTAAGCGCCCGCCCTACTAAGCGCGCCGCCGCGCCCGCCTGCCTGCCGCGCCGCGCCCTGCTGCAGCCCGTGCGTCGCGCTCTGCTGCCCCGCGCGTCGCGCTCTGCTGCAGCCCGCGCGTAGCGCCCTGCTGCCCTGCGCGTCGCGCTCTACCCCCTGCCTGTTAGGCCCGCCGCGGGCCCTCCCTTCGCGCCGCCACGCCTGCCAGTTACGCCCGCTGCTGCGCCCGCAGGTTAGGCCCGCTGTGGGCCCTGCCTTCGCGCCGCCGCGCCTACCCGTTCGGCCCGTCACTGGCCCGCCCGTTCGCCCCTCCCGCACCTGTCCGCTACGCCCGCCACGGGCCCGCCCCTTGCGCCCGCCGTGCCTGCGTTTTGCGCCCGCCGCGGGCCTGCACTCGCTGCCCATCGCCGCCCTGCCCGTGCGCGCTGTTGCCCGCGCCAGCGCCCTGCCCTGCCAACGCGCCAGCCCCCTGCTCTGCGCGCACTGGCGCCCTGCCCTGCCCTTCCCGAGCCGCCTCTGCAGCGCCCTGTGCGCCCTGCTGAACCCTAAAATAAATAAATAAAATTATTAAAAAAAAAAAAAAACACCCTTGGTGCTTCTGCCCTAGGAGCTACTGCCTGCTACTGGCCGCACGCCGCCCTGCTCTGGCCGCGCGTCGCCCTGCCCTGACCGTGCACCGCCCTTCCTTCCCTACGTGCTGCCCTGCTGGTCGCATGACTTCTCTTCACGGCAGCGGTGGGAGTGGTGGCGACGGTGGCGGCAGCAGTGGGAGTGGTGGCGGTCGTCGTAGCAGTCGCTGTGGAGCTGTGCGGTGGGGAGTTTCTGGCGGTGGCCAGATGCAGCTGCAGCGGCGTCCGCGTGAGACCCTTACACCCCAGCAGCTTCGTGAGTGGTACGCTAGTTGGGGTTGTGGCGGCGGCCGTAGTGGCAGTCGCCCTGGAGCTGGTCAGTGGGGAGTTTCTGGCGGTGGCCAGATGCAACTGCAGCGGCGTTCGCGCGAGACCCTTACACCCCAGCAGCTTCGTGAGTGGTACGCTACTTGGGGTTGTGGCGGCGGCCGTAGTGGCAGTCGCCCTGGAGCTGGTCAGTGGGGAGTTTTTGGCGGTGGCCAGATGCAGCTGCAGCGGCGTCCGCGCGAGACCCTTACACCCCAGCAGCTTCGTGAGTGGTTTGCTCAGCGTTGGGCGTCTCAGAGACATGCTGAGGGTGACTGTTACCTGTGTGTGCCGCCCGACCCAGGTATAGAGGCTGCTGCTCTAGGTGGTAGGGAGTCTGCTGCTCTAGGTGCTGGTGAGTCTGCTCTCTCTGGTACTGCGCCTGCTGAGGCCTTGCACACCTTCACGCTTGACTCAGGTGCTTCCCGCTCCTTCTTTCGCGACAGTACCACACTCACGCCGCTCAGTCGGCCGGTTGCAGTCTCCCTGGCGGACCCCTCTGGGGGCCCAATCCTTGCGCACTCCTCTACGGTTCTGCCGTGTCCGGCGGCCCCGTCTGGCTCACTGTCGGGTCTTCACCTACAATCGTTCTCTACGAACTTGGTGAGTGGAGCTGACCTCCAGGACGTGTGGGTTGACCAGTTCACTCTAGGAGGTCAGCGTGTGACCCACTGTACGTGTACTCGGACGGGCCGCCACATGGCCACGTTCACCCGTCTGCCTGGGTCGAGCCTGTACACAGTGACTACTGAGTCTCCTCCGGTTGCTGAGTCTGGTCAGGTAGCCGCGTCTGGTCAGGTGATTGCTGCCGCGTCCACGTCTGGTCCGGAGTCTGCCCCCTGCTCGTGTCGTCTCCTGTCACACCAGACTCTCCTTTGGCACCACCGCCTTGGTCACCCCTCCCTGCCTCGTCTCCGAGGTATGGCCTCCCGTACCCTTGTCTCTGGTCTCCCCCGGTCTCTCCCTCCCCTCCCACCGGGGCCTGCCCCTACCTGCGTTCCTTGCGTCGAGAGATGGCAGCGCGCCGCTCCTCACTCCTCCGAGTTCCCTCCGACGAAGGCTCCCTTGCAGACTCTACACATTGACGTGTGGGGCCCAGCCCGCGTCCGTGGACAGGGTCACGAGCGTTACTTTCTGCTGGTCGTTGACGACTACTCGCGTTACACCACAGTCTTCCCCTTGCGCAAGGGTGAGGTCACTGAGGTGTTGATCCCCTGGATCCGCGCTGCCCGTCGCCAGCTCAGCGAGAGTTTCGGCTCGGACCTTCCTGTTCTGCGTCTACACTCCGACAGAGGTGGTGAGTTTTCCTCGGACCTTCTGAGGGCCTTCTGTCGTGCGAAGGGCATCCGCCAGAAGTTCACGCTTCCGGCCTCCCCACAGCAAAATGGGATTGCTGAGCGCCGCATTGGCATGGTCATGGATGTGGCTCGTACGTCCATGATTCATGCGGCTGCTCCCCATTTTCTGTGGCCGTTCGCGGTCCAGTACGCGGCGCATCAGCTCAACCTTCAGCCCCGTGTCTCCATGCCGGAGACCACACCTACTCTGCGGTGGACGGGGAAGGTTGGCGATGCGTCTGTGTTCCGTGTCTGGGGATCTCGAGCCTTTGTCAGCGATTCTTCCGCGGACAAGTTGTCCTCCCGTGCTGTTTCTTGCGTCTTCTTTGGCTTCCCCCCTGACGCGCCTGGTTGGCAGTTTTACCACCCCACCTCGCGTCGTGTTCTGTCCTCTCAGGACGTCACGTTTGACGAGTCGGTTCCTTACTACCGTCTCTTCCCCTACCGCACTGCTTCCCTCCCCCCCCCACCGCTCTTCCTCACTCCATGTCCCCCTCCGATAGACCCCCTCCCCCCTCAGGGTCCGGCCCCTTCAGGTGTGTCCCAGGTAGACCCCATCCCCCTTGGTATGCCTGTCGAGATCGCTGGTGACTCTGGTGCTGCTGGGGGTGGTGCTACTGGGGGTGCTGAGTCTGAGCGTGCGGAGCCTGGGGGTGCTGAGTCTGAGCGTGCGGAGCCTGGGGATGCTGAGCCTGCGTGTGCGGAGCCTGTGTTTGCGGAGCCTGGGGGTGCTGCGTCTCCTGGCGGTACTCGTGCTGCCTCCCTGCGGCAGTCCCGCCGACGGGAGCCTCTCTCGTCACAGCAGCTGCGCGAGTGGTAGGACTGGCGCTGCCGACTTCGGCGTGGTGCTGCTGGAGCTGGAGACCCTGGAGGCGCTGGTGCTGCTCGTCCTGGAGGTGCCGGAGCTGCTGGAGCTGGTCCGGAGTCTGGGGGTGCGGAGCTCGGTGGTGCTGCGTCTCCCCGGCGGGAGCCTCTCTCGCCACAGCAGCTTCGCGAGTGGTACGCTTCCTACTACCGACCTCAGAGTGGTCCTGCTGCTGCCGGTGGTGATGGAGGTTCTAGAGGTCCTCGTACTGCGGGTACTGGAGCTGCCGGGACTGGTGGTGCTGCTGGAGCTGGAGGTGCTGCTGGAGCTGGAGCTGCTGGAGGTCCTGCTGGTGCTGGAGCTTCCGGAGGTGCTCGTCCTGGAGGTACTGGAGCTGCTGGAGCTGGAGCTGCTGGAGGTACTGCTGGTGCTGGAGGTGCTGGAGGTGCTGGAGCCGTTGGTCCCGGAGGTGCTCGTACTGGAGGTACTGGAGCTACTGGAGCTGGTGGTGCTGCAGGAGTTGGAGCTGGAGGCACTGGAGCTGTTGCTGCTGGAGGTGCTGCTGGAGCTGGAGCTGCTGGAGGTGCTGGAGCTGGTGGTGCTGCGGGAGTTGGAGCTGGAGACCCTGGAGCTGGGGGTACTGGTGCTGTCTCTGCTGGTTCTGGAGGCGCTGCACGGCCGCGGCCGTACTTCGTTCCACTCCTTCAGCAGGTTCTTGGCCTCCCGCCTTCTACTGGTCCTCCTCCTCCCTTACTGTGTCCACCGCCTGACCAGTCGCAGTCGTAGTTACAGCCAGCCTCTCCACTGCCTGGTCCTTCTCCTTACTCTGGGCCGACTAGAGGTCTTACGGAGCGTCGTGGGCCTGAGTCTCGTCCTGCGTCACCTGTTCGCGCTGGTCGCACTGGTAGTCGTGTTCCGCGTCCGCGACCTCCCCCTATCCCAGGCACGCACCAGATGGCACTTCGTCCTACCACTGCTCCACAGCGTGTCCCTCTGCCGTCTCCTCCTTCGTCCTCTCTTCCTGACGTCCCAGACCCGCCGTCAGACCTTGCTCGTGCTGCCAGTCCTATTGTCACCCGTCTTCTAGCCACTGTTGTCACTGACCCTTCGTTTGAGTCCACTGCTGCGTCTTCTCTAGTTGCTGAGCTTGTTGACTTTGCTGCCGCCTGTCGCCTCGACTACGCCGCTAGTCTTGTTGCTGAGTCTGAGTCTGTCTGTCCTCCGTCCGTTGGGGGTGAGTGTGCTCTTGACACGGACGTCCTTGAGGACAGGCAGGAGGACTTTGAGTGTTTTGCAGCTGCTGTACCTCATCTCGTGTCCATGCTGATTGCACGTGAGGGAGACCCTGATGCACCAGACATCCCGACCCCGCGCTCTTACGCAGAGGCGATAGAGGGTCCCTACTTCTCTCAGTGGCAGACAGCCATGGACGCAGAGATGGCATCTTGGAAGTCCACAGGCACTTACGTTGACGAGGTTCCCCCACCTGGGGCGAACATCGTCAGTGGCATGTGGATTTTCAGGGTGAAGCGGCCGCCGGGTTCTCCGCCTGTCTTCAAGGCGTGTTACGTTGCACGAGGCTTCAGTCAGTGAGAGGGAGTTGACTACTTCCAGACCTTCTCCCCTACCCCGAAGATGACCACTCTTCGGGTTCTGTTGCACGTCGCCGCTCAGCGTGACTACGAGCTTCACTCTCTTGACTTCAGCACTGCTTTCCTACAGGGCAGCCTGCACGAGGAGATCTGGCTGCCCCGCCCACATGGCTTCGCTGGGTCGTTTCCTGCAGGTACCCAATGGAGCCTCCGGCGGCCAGTCTACGGTCTCCGCCAGGCGCCTCGCGAGTGGCATGACACACTGAGGACGACGCTTGTGGCTCTTGGGTTTGCTCCTTCGACTACTGACCCGTCGCTGTTTCTACGCACCGACACTTCGCTGCCGCCGTTCTACATCCTTGTGTACGCCAACGACTTGGTATTTGCCACTGCTGACACTGCTGGACTGGCCCACGTGAAGTCGGGGCTGCAGAAGAGACACACGTGCACAGACCTGGGTGAGTTGCGCAGCTATCTTGGCTTGCAGATCACTCGGGACAAAGCACGGCGCACCATTACCTTGACTCAGTCACACATGGTGCAGCAGGTCCTTCAGCGCTTCGGCTTCGAGTACTCCTCGCCACAGGCCACTCCTCTGCCTACCGGTCACTCGCTCTCAGCTCTGCCTTCGGATGAGTCCGTAGAGCCGAGTGGCCCGTATCCAGAGCTTGTGGGCTGCCTCATGTACCTGATGACCTGCACTCGACCTGACCTTGCTTACCCTCTTAGCATCCTGGCTCACTACGTTGCGCCCGGGAGACACCGACCAGAGCACTGGAAGGCCGCTAAGAGGGTGATGCGCTACTTGTGCAGTACGTCGGGCATGGGGCTCGTGCTTGGAGGACGGGCTCGATTTGTCCTCACTGGTCACGCAGACGCTTCTTGGGTTGACGACTTGGCTACGCAACGGTCGTCATAGGGTTACACCTTCAGCCTTGGCTCCGGCTCTGTTTCGTGGCGGTCTACCCGCTCGTCTTCTGTTCTCAGCTCCAGTTGTGAGGATTAGATCTACGCAGGGGCCATGGCTGCACAGGAGTTACGCTGGCTCACCTACCTGCTGACCGACTTGGGCGAGCCGCCTCGTTCTCCTCTAGTTCTGTACGTCGACAACAAGGCCATGATTGCCTTGTGTCAGGAGCACAGACTGGAGCACATTATCTGCGCTACTTCCTTGCTCGAGAGTTGCAGCAGCGTGGACAGCTTCGTCTTGTTTACGTGGCCTCTCAGGCCAACACTGCTGATATCTTCACCAAGGCACTTCAGCCTTGTGATCATCAGCGTTTCTGTACTGTTTTAGGCCTTGTGCTCACTTGGCATCACTTGCTCACTTCTTGACTTTGCTTGTACTATGATCTACATACATATACCTGCATGCTTACACTTGCTAGGTTGTGATCGCTGTACTGCTTGTTCTCCTTTATATAACTCTGCATGTGGACAGGCCTTGTGGCCATTTGCTTGTGCTCGGACTGTGTGGTGACGTTGTGATCCACCCTGAACTTGACCTTGCTTAGTTCTCTTGCTTGTCCCCCACTTTGCTTATGGGGGTGTGTCAGAACTATGCATTTATATGCTCTAGGCTGTAGTGGGGCACTCCTTATAGGGTACAGCCTAATTAGGTTTTGCTATACAAACCCTGCACTGCTGTCATTCTAGTCATCCTTCATTCCTACTTTCTGACAAAGTGGACGGAGACCAAGGGCGACACATCGATGCTCCGCGTGTGGGGGTGCATGGTGCAGTACCGCCCGCCAACGTCAACCATAGGAAAAATTGCAAGCCACGCGCGCTGGGGGATTCACCTCGGAATCAGCCACGAACACAAGGCGTGGCTCATCCTGGATCTCATGAGCCAGAAGGTCAAAAATCCGTGTGACGTCATCTTTTACGAGCGGCTCTTCCTTCGGCAATTCCGCGAAGATGAGCACGCGAATGCGAATCGCGTCTACGCCAACGACGGGCACAGCTACGCTTCACCTGAGGATGAAGCTGCAGCAGCCATTCTGGAGCAGGACACCAGAGGCGAGTTCACAAGAGGCGATCGCCACGACGATGACGACGACAACACTCCTGGAGGAGGAGAAGGCGCGGCTGGCGGAGGCGGAAGCGGAAGCGGCAGAGTCGCAGCACCACCAGCACCACCTGAACTAGAAAGCGACGATGACGATGTGCAGGAAGTCATCCCGCAGCACCGCCACGACAGCACCGTTTCTGGACTTCAACTTCTCGGGCTCCACACCGCCACCTCAACGGCGCCACGTGTCATCAAGCCGAAGAATCCTCGCCAAGCACTCACGGGACCACACAGCAAGGAATGGCGCGAGGCGATGGATGCGGAAATCAAGGCACTTGAGTCCCGCGATACCTGGGTGCTTGTCGATCGAGCGGCAATCAAGGGGAGAAGGATTCTCTCCGGGAAATGGGTCTTCTGCGTGAAAACCGCAGCGGACGGCACGATTGAGCGATTCAAGGTGCGCTGGGTCATACGTGGCTACGACCAGTGGCACGGCATCGACTTCGACCAGACGTTTGCGCCGGTCAACCGTCACACCTCCGTCAGAATCCTTCTCGCCATCGCTGCCGCACGACACCTCCCGCTTTGACAGATTAATGTGAAGAACGTGTCCCTCTACGCGTTAGTAGATGCTGTAATCCACGTGGAGCAGCCGCACACATACGGCGAAGGAGACTCACGCGTGTGCCAGCTGTGAAAGTCCCTTTACGGGATTAAACAGGCGCCAAGGCTCTGGCAGCAGTACCTGCACAAAATCATGTTCGAGATAGGCTTCAAGCACCTGCCTCACGATCCCGGCATGTATCGGCGCGATTTCCGCGGCGAATACATTCTGCTCACGGTCTACGTCGACGACCTTCTCTACACAGGATCGAGCAACGAACTACTTGAGCAGTTCGAGAAAAGTCTCGCAGGGCGCGTCCACATCACCTGCAACCACGACGTGAAGCAGTTTCTCGGGCTCAACACCTCCTACTCGCCATAAGCCATTCATCTCTCAGCAGCCAAGTATGCAGAGGAACTTGGCAAGCGCTTCAACATCGCACCTGCACCACTCTCCACCCCTTACCGCACTCCAAGACCCAACCACAAGCCCGACAACAAAGCCCTGTCCCCCACTGGGCTTCAGACCTACCAGCAGCAGCTGGGATGCCTACTCTTCGCTTCTGTTACCTGCAGGCCCGATCTCTCCTACATCGCGAGCCAGTTGGCTCAGTAGTCTCGCAAACCAACGGTTGAGAATCTGCTAGATCTTCAGCGGGCACTTCCGTTCTTCATCTCCACGGCCAATGTTGGGCTCTGCTACTCCACCATCCCAACCGCGTCCTTCAACCTCTTCGGCTACGTGGACGCTGATCATGCCGCTGACCCCGACAATTGACGGTCCAGGACATGTTTCCTTTTCCACCTTGAGCCCCATGGCCCCATCTCCTGGAATTCGTAGAAACAGCAGCCGTTCGCGAAGGCCTCTACCTTCAGGAGCTGCTGCAGGAGGCGAAAATTCCAGCCTCGGCGATCTTTCGCCTACACTGCGACAATCAGAGCGATCAGGATCGCGAACAAGCCCGGGTTCGTCAACCGCACCAAACACATCGCGCTGCAGTACTTCTTCGTCAAGGACGAAGTTGACAAGGGCAAGGTTGACCTCACCTATTGCCTGACGGGTGACATGGTAGCCGACTTCCTCACGAAGCGACTGTAACGTCAGCAGTATCAGCACTGCTCCAAGCTCAGCGGAGTAGTCAAGCGGGTCAAGACTCGCTACGGCCAGGAGTGAAGGGGGGTGTTACGAATAGTAAAAGATGAAGCATTACTGTGCACTCCTTATCGCAGCAATCGAAGCACGCACTACCGAGGCTGAAGACGAAAAGGCGGAAGTGACGCGAAGGGTCTCACGGTTACGAAAGGATCTGGACCGTCGGGCAGACAGCATCAGGCAGCAGCAGTGGCGAGGATTCTGCCCAGGCAGTTCGTAACCGTCTGGAGTCGCACGGTTGAGTTTTGCTGCAATAAGGGAATGTACCCCTTAGAGTACATGGCTAGCCTAGGTCGATTCGAATTCCCTTGTACTCTTATTTATATTCCTGTACTTGCATGTTTTTATTATCTCAAGCATTTTACATCCACTCTGCTATTGAGGTCAAGGGCCCACCACCACTACTCAGACGTGTGCGAACCTTCCTGAGGTGATCCTAGGGACGATCAACACCTGATCGCAACACATGTGACGCTCAGCTGTCAGACCCGCCACCGTCACCACCACTCCTCGGGCCAGTAGGTCCCGACTGACGCTGGAAGACCCACTGTTGGAGCTGCTGCTGCTGAGTCACCGTCGCACCCCCCATACTAACACCTCCTGCGGCAACACCCCCATAACCAGCAGTCGTAGCATCAGCACCCTGACGTACCATTACCTCCACCTCCTCCACGAACTCGGCCATCCTTGGGCCGTCCCCGCCCACCAGAGGGGGCAGAGACGGTTGCGGCCGCCGATGTAGCAGTAGGCTTAGCAACGCAGCAGCGGCAGCTGTGGTAGGGAGCTGGGGAGGAGCGCACTCCTCACAGATGGTGTGGGACCACCTCACTAGTGGTGGAGGCGATTGTGCAAAGGCGGTTCTCGATCTAGGTGAAGCCTATGGTGTGCATGGCGAGGAGGGCGTTGCTGGCAGATGCGAGGCGGTCAGAGAGGCAAGTCGCTAGGAATTGCAGGGTGCGACACATGGGGGGGGTGGGCATGCATAGCAAGGTGCTGAGTAGTGCAAGCAGCGCGAAATCTAGCGTCAAGCGAGCGCATGTGGGTTGTGAGGTTAACGAAAATGGGGAAAGCAGGGAGGGATACTAGGGAAGAGGAAGGGCACAAGGGGGCGTCCCATCATAGCAGAGGGAGGGGGGAGAGGGGACTAGCGAGCAACAATAGCATCCAGACACTCCTTCACCACAGAGACCTGGTGAAAGTGCACTCGCTTGGCCGGCGGTATGAGGCGGCT